AAAATAAAATTACATCACCAATACCTAAATAATATGAAAACAGTGCACTAATTATTGTTCTTGTCCGTTTTAATTTATATTATTATCTATGATAAAAATTTCGTATTTTCGTAAATTTCGTGATCGAAATTGCGCGGTTTACATTTGTTAATGGCTTTACGCCAGGAAAATGCCCTTGAAATTACAATTATCCTTCACTTGAATACTTTTGCTATGTCTATGAAACTAAAAAGTGTTTCAATTTGCTACTCAAGTTATCTTAAGGGCGAACAATCTTTCTCGGAAAATAACGCACATACGTGAAAATTCCTTTATTTAGAGTCATTTAGTTCGGTTTAAATTTGTATCAACTTGAATCACACCTGATAACTGAAGTTGTTGCATTTTTTATTGCTAGTTTCCAAACAGTTGTATATTTTTGTCATTTTATACAATTTTTGTTACTTAAGGAATCTGAATGTATCACTGCAATATAGCAGTTTTCACCTTCTGTCTTGCCTTGCCTCTCAGTGTCATTACCAAAATCATTATTTTCTGTTGCTTTGAATGCAATTTTCAGGTCACTCTAGTCAAATGTCAGAACTTCTTCAATATATTCTTTATGTACATGAGAACTACAAATAACGAAACCACTGCCAAGAAAATTATTTCTAACATCAAAATATGAGGATCTGAAAAAACTACTAAATTATTTTTCAACTGGATGATCAAAGTGATAATGATCTCAGTTTACCCCAAGATCCATCCAGTTTTACATTTTTGACGAAATTTCACTGGCAATAGAAAAAACTATATACCCTGCTGAATATAAAATTGTAAAAAACGGGTTGTTTCGAACATTTAAAGAGAGCACATGACATATTCCTTTGGTAGACAATACAGAGATTTTCTTCTGCAATTTGACATCAATTTCCATTTTGTTGGAATTATTAATTTCAACAATGATGAGAAGCATATGCATTCAAGTAGTTGGTCCTTACCCTTCGTTTGCATGCATGCAGTGAATCCATCTAGTATTATTATGAGCTCTCCAACGACATAATGTTGATAGTGCTGGTAATGACACTTTTAGTGTTTTGTGCAAGCACCTCTAAAACGTGAAGCTCATATTTCTTAACGAAATGGCTGCAGCAGCATCGGTTGTCCACAAAACTACGCTTTTCATCTGGATGGCTTTCATTTGCCCTTTTATTCAGAAATCTGTGAAAATTTTCCTGAATTTTGTATCTTCACCCTTGATTCCACTCTTGCCTCTTTCCAGAAATTCCCTGTTTCCAGTAAAAGGGAACAATATATTAGATGGTTATGATAAATTGGTTTAAATCTGCATATTGTTATTGCAGGAACTAGGATTCTCGCGAAATTAGTCTGAACATATATTATACCTTCAAGTTGTTCTTCTCTCAAACTCCATGCTACTTCATATTTTTATGTGTATTATAACATGCTAATTGAAGATCTGTAGAGAAAATAGTCCTTTGCCACTTGAGACGAGATGAGTATTGGTCTACATTGTTCATAACTATGAATACCAAGGAATGTGTAATAAACTTCATTGTGTTATTCTGCCATGTGTTGTCAAAATATAATAAGACCTACTACTTGCAGGTAGAAAAGCAGGAAGTATTGTGTAGATCGTAATATTTTAATGTTTGCCAAAATGTGGCACAGGGCTTTCAAATCCCAAGCTTTTCAATTGTAATGTTTTGTAATTGTGGTAATGACTCAGAATGTAATTGTTTGCTTTCGCTTACGTTATAGAGAGAAAGTTATGAAATGTACGAAACAACAGCGATGTTTTCTCTGGTCTAATTGTAGAATGTTTTTAAAAAATGAAACCGGAATTAACTCTTTATATTACCCCTGTTTCATATAAAATAACATTATTCTTCGTTAATTTTATATGCTAATTCAATTACTATGTATGTATGTTGAACAGACGTGTCTGTAAGTTCATAAACATAAATGTATCTACTATTAATAAATATACATGTGCAACTATCATTTCCACGCCAAGAAGGTCATTATTTCAATGTTGAAATATTTGAATTCTAAAGAAAAATTTGAACAAATTAGTTTCCGGGTACAGAAAACAGCATTGACAGATTAAGGAGTTTGTTTCCTTTCTCGCCCTTATGAATGTAACAATACATGTATATATGTATATGTAACAATATTGTAATCGTGCGCCGGAAAACGGCGAATTTTCTACAGAAAAAACTCTTATTGTAGGGTCCTGGTAACGAAAAAGTGTGTAAATCCCGTTCATACATATTGTAAATTATTTCTTCTAACACCCAGTGGTAGACAGAATCCATGTTTTGTAGGTCCTTGATATCGACAAATCGATTGTCGACAAAACGTCTGTCCGTCTACTTGTGTTTGTGGTCAACGCAGGCGCCTAAACTGTTAAGCTGATTTTCTCCATAACTCATATCCCTCGATCGATCTGAAAGATCTCGATCAGAAAGAACTCAAGTCTTTGGAAATTTCAAACAAATATTTTGATTTTTGAGGCTACGTTTCATGAAGCCTCAAAAACATTTTCAAAAGTTTCTCAAAAATGGCCCCACATATTTTTTATTAAACTCTGTCCTCCGAATACGTAAAGAACGAGTCTCATTTTCGTTGAAATCCTATATTGTTCGAAAATTGCATAGGTGCCATTTCTAGCATCTTCCAACAACTACAATATTGAAGATAGTGATGTTTTGCTTTATAAAATCTGCTTGTTAAAGACAGATCTTGAAATAAGGTCACGATCAATTTTTCGAAAATATAAGCAATATTGATATAATTATGTCGGCAATTCCTAATTAATTTTAAACAATTTTTTCTCATCACTCGACCCAATTTTTAAAATTTTCTTCTCGTATGTATCAGGCGGCGGTAAACTTTTTTTGATAGCCCCATTTTCGGCACACACTGTATTTTCCAAAATTGAAAAAGTTAACATTTCAGAATTATAAAACTGAAGATGGGGACTTTTAACTTAAAGTCCGTTCCAAACAATTAATTCTTTTAATGGTAATGTACATTTTTTTGAAAAAATGAGTATATTTGTATATTTCAAAAATAGCTCCATCGTTTTTTATTAAATTTCGTTATTGGATAGTGTAAAGGACGTTTAAGAGGTTGGTGCTCATTTCATTTTCGTTGAAATCCCTTATTTTTCGTAAATTGCAAAAGTTCAAATTTTTTTCGGAGTCTTTCTAGAAGAAAAATGATGATTGATGGTGTATATTTTTTCCTTACTAAAATCTTTTTCTTAAAGATATATTTTGAAATAAGAATATATTCTTATTTCAAAGAATAATTTTTCGAAAATTTGAGTACGTTTCGTGTAATTTTGCGTAAAAGTACGGGCGAGAGAGTACGTGCTGTTTTAGCACCACTAGTTCTTTGGTTAGAATTGATTCCTATAGTAATTGTGTTCAACATTTAAAAATTGTGAAATTTAAAAGCTTAACTATTTCAGAAATGTGCGATATAAAAGCTCGCGGTAGATCAACACCGGTATTGAACATATCTTTATTCACTTATATTTTTGCATGCGTCACCATCAATTAAAAGCACCAGCCTCCACTGGTTATCTTCAATTGCGAGAGTGATGATTTCACAATATAATAATTACATTTAAATGTCATTTCTCCAGGGTAAGCGCAGCATACCTGGCTTACCCTGAATGCACGCCACAAGTACTTAATAAAATAAATGCATCTGCATGCCTGTTTTAAATTCTCTATCTTTATGACATGGGATTTAGTTGTGGCAGCCGCGTAGTGAACGAAGGCTTCAGCTGTCAGCGTAGAATTCGACCTTGAGGTCGCTTGTCTCTCAAAGCCTCGGTCGTAAGGAATTCCCTCACTCCTGACTCTCTGAGCCTAGGAAGGTGTAAGGGCTTCTAATCACGCGTCGCGCTGCTCCGCGTTGAAAATCGTAACCCCTCGGCCAGAGACGCTTTGCTCAAGGCCATACGAGGGTATCAGAAAGTCATAATACTCTGGGCTGTGACGCATTGTGTGTTAAAAGAATCAGCATCAGCAAGCAGTCCGAATGCAGCCAGTAGGCTGTGAGGTAATGTGTATTTTTGTGAGTTTCACAACCAGTTGGACAATGATTGAAAAGAAATGAAACTCGAACCTTAGACGAGATGGTCAAACTTATAAAAGCAAGAAAAACTCATAAGATGTGAATGAAGAATGCTTAACATTCATTTAATAATGATTTCTTCCATATATAGTTCTATGGTAATGTATGTTAATAATTATAATAAAGTTATGTAATTTACTAGATTTAAGACCGAAATATCAATATCACAAGTCAGGCCGTCATAGATTTTTGTTAAATAATAAACATATTTGTTATATTGTAGTAGCCTATATTATTTCTGTAGCGTATATACAATACTATACAATGTTATTTTTAAATAATTACATAATTATAATATAAACAAATATTTAAATCAATTTTTCAGAATAAAGAAAGAAGAAACGAAAACTCTTGGCCTTTTAGGGAGGAGCACGCCCCCATGCCCGGCTTCCTAGATCCGCCACTGAAATGGACAACCGTGCCTAAAACGGAAACCTCCCTAAACCGGAATTTGTTTTACCCGATCGCTTAGACTGCTTTTACTGTATTAACAGGTACTCTGCATATGAAATTATGAATAATTTTCACATTGCATATTATATCAAATTTTATTTATTGAAACATTGGCAATTTTTGTATTTATCATTTTGTACTATTTCATGTTATGTGGAAGTAGAGGGATTCATTTTACAAAGACACAAAATAAACTATTACAGAACATATCAAAGAACAAAAGAGTATGATTTGCACAATGCTACATAGTTGTAATTATTGTGAAGTAATGTACGTACTACAAAATAAAATTTAATACTGACCGTTTTTTCGGGAAAACGTATGACAGTGTAATAGTAGATGTGAGTAATATTGCATGACGCGTTGGCAGTATTGGCTTACGTTGTGAAGAGTTCAGTGTTGCCACTGGTAGACTTAAAGTGTGATCGTGTACAAAATATAACATCACACTACAATATAGACCAGTCCCCATGACTATCATACCGTCAGTGTATGAGTATCTCTGACAATTCTCTCGTACGTGTGGTACGTCATGTAATCTAATCTGAAGCAATCAGATTGCGAAGATTTACTTTGCCACGGCTCAGCGTTGCCGCTTGTCGCATTCTCACGGAATCGCCCGAGAAGCGCACATATAAATGTCATCAACAGTATCAGTTTTGAACGCATGGGTTTGGGCGGCGAAAAGAGATTATGTGTCAGAAACTATGAACATGATGCCAAAACATGTTGTCATCTGTTGTTCATCTAGCTGCCGTTATGTGCCGCCATGTGCGTGAGGCAACAGCGCATCGAACTGTCAACATGTAGCCGGAATTTTTGCATTAGACTGAAGTAATTACAATAGTGTAAAATGTAGTAGTGTATTATTAATATGCATTTTATTGCCTCGTCTATCAAAAACAATTTTTAAAAAAATTAAATAAAATCATTGAGTATAAAAGTTGTTTTTGCCTTGTACGCTAGAACCAATCACAGCGCTTTGGTGGCATGGTGGAATTTGGCGGGTTTAGTAGGAAGCATTAAATGATCGAGGAATGCATGTTGTTTGTTGACAGATGTAATTGTAAAAAGAAACAAATATGAGATATTCAGTGAGCAATATTTATAGTTTGTCCTGACATCATTGTCGTAGACCATAACCCGGTTTGAGGGTGATGTGCGTTTATTGTGATCGCTAACTCATGGTTGAATGTTTGTTGATAAATACTTGCTGTCATCTTAAGTATTGCTCTTTACATTCATTATTGTACGTTATTGTTGGCTGTGGAATTACGTGAATTTGAGTCGAGTTAATGTCTTCTTGTCCTGAGCATTATGGAAGAATCAACTTCGAAAAACAGTGGTTCAAAATATGAAAATGTGGACATAGAGGATACAATCTGTACCAAAAAAAGAAAATTGTCTGAAGAGAGCGGCTTTCAAAGGAAAAAATTACATTTATCGAAGTTTAGCACTCGCATTTCACCACCCAATGTCCCAAAAACTTGTAACTTGTGTGGAACGCAGTGTGAAAGCAAAGAGAATTGTAGTGGCTGTGTGAATATTGGCAGGACATCTGTGAGTACGCTTTCAAATAATTGTGGTAAAGTGAATTCTTCTGATGAATTCTTACAAATGATCCATAAACCTAAAACACTTAATTTTACTGCAAGAAATACAGAAATTGTTTCTTCTAACAATAAGAGATTAAAGGTTGTGAAAGTTGAAAGTGACGACAAAGAGATTAGTTCAAAAGTTATTAATGAAAAAGAAAAGGTGAATTCTTGGTTGTGAAAAAGATTCTAATATGAATTACACGGAATTGGAAGTTCTGATGATTTATACATTTTATTTAATGTTTTCAGATTTTGCAAGAGTGCCTGTCTATTACTGAAAGTAATGATGAAAATAGAATTAAAAATGTGACTGCTGATAAGACTGATAATTCTCGTCAAACTCTATCTAATGAATTTGATGGCCTCTTAGATGATTGGGATTTAGAAGAGTAAGATTTTTGACACTTCAAGATACTTAAAATTATTTCAACCAGGGATGTTATATAGCTCATTATCATATTGATTCCTCTAGAAATAAAGTAAAGGTTCTATGCTATAATAACAATAAATAAAATTATACTGAAACCATTTAATGATGCAAATACTTGTTAATATTGTTGTACCTATTCAAAACAAGATCTATTGTTCCTGCAGTAAGTATGATTTTTCTTTTGCTGCACCAATAATACAGTGTGTAATTAGAATGTTGGAGAAAGGAAGTACCTGGTTTGAATAATTATAAGTGGAATTACATTAAATTATTTTAATGGAATGAAACTAATGTATGATTCCCAAGAATTATCACACATTAAAATTGAGGGTCTTATAACTATGTGTTTGGAGTACTTTCCAACATCGTAGCATTTCTTTTTTGTCTGAGTTCATTATACGCGCTGTGTTTGGACACTTAGTGTACGTGCGTGAAGAGAAGTGGAAATTTTGTTCAGAAATCTTGTCACATTTCATAATGGTCCAACATCCAATTTTTGTTTTGAATGAATTTTGAGGCTTTCTTTCTGATTTTGCAATGAAGTGTTTTAAATCCAAACCAAAAATTTTTGTTTGGAGAGGTGTTTCCAGTATTGCTGGATCCTTACCTACAATACTTTGACAGTTCTTTTAAAACAAATGTATTTAAAAAAAAAATCAAATAAATCTTGAAAGAAGAGAAAGTCAGAAAAAAGTCTGGAAGTGTGAGTGTGCACCTTTCTTTGCTGGTTTTGATTAGTATTTTTACTCTATCTGAAAGCAAAAAGTATCCTAGTTTTTAATTATTTTAAAGAAAAGTATTTATTATGTTTACTGAAGCATAGAAATGTTTGAAAAAATTGTAAGTGCAGTAAAGGAATTTACCAGAAACAGTGTTGTTATTTTTCTTATTTAAATGTCACTCTTCTTTCAGGGCATTCTGTGCAAACAATGTAGGAGATTTAAGTTTAGATGAATGGCAACGTTGTGAAATAGTGGAAGTGCATGAAGAGGTTCCTAGTCGCAATACCATTCTCCAACTTCGATCAGTACATACAAATGCTGTTACAAAATGTGTCCTGCGAGGAGTTTGGTAAGAACTTGCTCATTTTATCGATGTAGCCAACAATTGAACATCAAATCTTCATTTTAATGCAAATATAATCAGATTTGATAGAGGTTTTAAAAACTCATAAAAAAGAATTATTGTGTATTATGTATCATTAATAGCACCTTTCTGATTTCCTTACAGTGTTTCAATTTTTGTTGTAATTTATGTAGCTTTGTTGCTTGATACATAATGAAAATACCGTATATGTCCAGAATTTTACTTCCAAGTATAATTTATTATTAACCACACCCTAACACTGAAATTTTGTTAATTTATTTAGTTTTTTTTTTTTTTTTTTTGTAATTTCTGATCTTTAATGCCTATTGGAAACCTGTATGTTTTATTAACAACGTAAAATATAATTTTGAGAGCCCCATAGAAAAAACTAATCATGTAATGAAAATACTATATTGGAAATAATTCTTTGGTTAACCTGAGAGAACCCCCATGTAAAATGTAATGACAGTATACTCAGTGTATGTCAGCCTGTAACTGATTGATATTTGTCAGTGTAACTGCTTTTTCTCACAACATGGTTTGTAGTAGAGTAAAAAAATAATTGAATTGTTTTCAGCTTTAATTTGATATTCAAGTTTAACTTCAAGATATTCTGGGAAATTTTTTTTTAACAACTTACAGGATGCTTTGCAACAAAATTATTGACACAAGATCACACATTGTATCTATTAGACACTGCACAGCACTGCGAATAAATTATAGCTTGTTCAGAGCTTTCCATGAAAACTTGTTGAAATGCATGACACAGGATTACTTAGAAATTAACCATAAGATGGTACAAGGAATTTCAACTGGATAGATGGGGGCATCTTTCAGTTATTTGAAAGTATCTAATGCCTGTATTTCACAGTTAGATTGTGTGTGCTCAAGAGTGAGAGGGGTAGTTACTTTTTTTGGTAATGCATGTATTTTACAGCGAAGTGGAATCTTGATACCTTGAAACTAAAATTAATAAATATATAGTTAATAGTGATAGATATTTAGTTAATAATAAATAAGTATATAGTTAAATAAATAGTGATCTTAATGCAATAGTTCGTTTTGTATTGTATCTTATAATTCTAAAAAGCTGATTATGCTTTTAAAAGTCATGTAATTTCCTTCTTAGTCAATGATCCATCTTGATTTGAGTTTATAGTTCACATTCCTTTGACCTATTTACCAAATGAATATTCCTTTTTTTCTGAACACTGAATTTAACTGTTATTCCTCCCATATGTTACTTACAGGGTTTTTTTCTTCTGAGGATATTGTTTTCATGGTTACTATCTCTCTACTTTCTACATGAAAGTAATTACATTTTGCAAATGTGTGTATTTGGAAAAATTTACGTGCTAAAAAATTGTATGTTTACTAGTTTTATCGTAAGTCATAGAAGATAATTAGTTTCGAGGCTTCCTGACTTTACAAACTGGAAAGCAATATAATAATACAATGCACTGAAATAATTTTTTATTCCATGTAGTGTAAGAACTAGTCTTTTTCATATTTAATTAAATTCCATGCTGGGAGTTAACACACTTCATTTTTTGTTTATGAACTGAATTGTCTTGGATGTAATTGAGCACATTATTAGTGTCTGTATAATGCTACACAGCACACATGGTACAGACACAATAATGTAAAGGTCACTTTTCTATCAGTGTGGATTATAGTTGTCTCAATTCTTAAATAGTTTTGGGGCTTGAGCTCCTATGTCAGGTGTGACTCTGCATCAAGGTTTTTGTTTTGCGGTCTGATGTCAAGTCCTACTTGACACAGCCTTTCTGTTCCTAATGCTTTGAACATTGTTAGAAGTTGCAGTAGTAAACAGATACATTGAACAAAGATTATTCCAGTACCAACAGTATCAATAGTTTTTCACACAAATCATTTCACAGAATTGTTATCAGAGACTTGGGGGAAGAGCGAAGGGGAAGTGAGATACAAGGCCAGTGATCAACTTCTGATGGTGAAGAATGCTTCAGTGGAAAATTACATGTAATAAACAAATTTTAAGAAAATAAGCATATGGACTATGCTGTGTGTTTAGACAGGAAATAAACTGCATTTTTCTTGGAAAAGTATTCCAGGCAACCAGCATTGCACTTGAAAGAATGCTTGAATAGATATCGTACATAGAAGAAATTAAAATTTTTAACATGCAAAACCATAGAAAATAACAACACATTCAAAGAATTGAGTATTTTGTTTTTAATTAAACACGTTAATGATATACCAAACTTCAATCGAATCATTAATTCAGTCAACCACAGTTAGCAGAATTTAAAGAGAGTTCTTAAGGGCACACAGAGCATAGATCACAGAGCACAAAGAGTTAAATCATATCATGTCTTCATTAATTGTGTCACAAATAAATTATCTGATTTTGAGATGTTGAATTTATCTGTGTTATCAGAAATATTTTAATGCAAAAGGGTAAGACTTATTAGATTGAGTGAATTAGTAATGAAAATAATTACTGCACTGTTCTTTTGTCACCTGAATTGTAATGAGGTCAATGTTTTGACATTTAACTAATTTGTATGTGCATGGTAATGCTCTTTAATGTGTTTTGTTTTCAATTTTTGTACTGTTATTCTTCTAATTTTACTTTTGTATAAGTAGTCTACAGAAAATATTATAATTGTGTCAATTCTTGCTGAGATTTTAGGAACTTAATTATTCTCAAAGACTTTGATGTCACAAGTTAAAGCCTTTTACTACCTTAGAAAAACTTTGGTGTGAAAGATGTCTGTGGTGATTAACCTTAAAAAATTGTTGCTTCTAAAAATCAAATTAGATTATTTTCTAGAAATATTATCTCCAGATTTTCTGGTTTGAGCATATCCCTTCTTGTTCTCTTCGTACTTTAATGGTTTCTGATTCGGGTATTCATTTCTGTAGTGTATATCAGGTGTAAAACTGAAATGGCACTTTGAGCAGTGCTAGAGTTGTAACCAGAACTTTCAGCAGTGTGGTCGGAATGCATGACAGGGAGAGGTTAAAGCAAAACATTACTCAAACTAGAACATCTCACAACTGCAATCACTTCCAGTAGATTTGACTGTGACAAAACATTTGGATAAAATATTTTGCATGTATTTCAATCTGTAACATTCATTAAATATTAAATTCCCATTACTCATTACTTCTTCAGTTACACCGTTTTTATTTTACAAATTCAATTTTTTTTTTTTTCCCTTTACTGATTTAGTGTTAAAATTGTATATTGCTTATGTCTGTTTTCCTTAATTTCAAGAAAGAAATTTAACTGTGAAGTTATAGTAGATTTGTTTCTTTGCAGGACATCCAACAGCATCAAACCTGGTTCCATTGTTAGTGTGAAAGCTCACTTTGATAGTTCCCTATGTGCATGGACTATTGATAATGATGGAGGATTTATTGTTGAATTTTCTGACATCTTAATATCTCCAACTAGCATTGTGGGATCTGTATCTTGTTTACGCCAAGGTGTACTTAATTTCTTATACAGCAGAAATTCACATAGCGTTGATGAAAATTCTAAACTTTTAGCTACTGGGAGTCTTGTACACGAGCTACTTCAGCAGGTAATATCCTACGGGGCTATTCTTTTAAATGAATATTGTTTTTATTGTTTCAATGTATGCAAAATTTGGAGAATTTTAGGAATTTGGAGAATTGGAGGAAACTAATTATTGCTACAAATATTATTTTTCTTATTTAATTTTTTATGGACATAAAATTCGTAACTGGGCTTTAAATTTTATACAATGTTTATTATTTGTTTATTTTAACTTTGGAATGTAAATTTCAAGTTACAGTTAAAAAAAATGTTTCATCAATCAATTATATATTATGTTAATAATTAAAATGGTTTCTTGTTTCAGATTATGTCCCAAGGCACAGACTCTCCTGAATGTATTGCTGCATTAGTGGAAGAAATAATATCTTCCTCATATAATGTTCGACTTCTGTATGCAAGTAAAATGTCTTTACATGAAGCTCGTGAAGAATTATTGAAAGTTGTTCCTAGCATACAGAAGTTCTGCCAACGTTATTCATTTGGAGAAAGAACTGTGGGTAATATGGAGAAAAACTCTACAATGCCACAATCTACTGATAAAGATGCTTGGGAAGGGGAGATTAAATCTGTTATTGCTGTTGAAGACAATTATTGGATACCAGAGTTGGGTTTAAAAGGAAAGGTGGACATTACAGTTAAAGCAAAAGAAAAACATCAATCTCAAAATCAGGTACGGAATACCAAGTTTATTCATCAATAAAACTACCCTCTAATTTCAAAGAGATTTCTTTTCATTAAGCATTTTTTAAGAGTGGCTGAAGTATTATTAGATGGAAGATGCAATATTATAATATTACGTAACCGTTACAAAAAAAAAATACGTGATAGGCTGTTCTATTGAAGCACCACATGTTTTTCTATTTCATTTCTTCCCTAGACATATAAGGGCCTTAGAGGATGTATAGCTTGTTGCTTCTTTCTGAATCTTCTTAACTTGTCAGAGATTTTCTGAGTCAATGGGATGGATCATTTGAGAAAGGTGATCGGTGGAGGATGGAATTCAGGACAGAATAGGAAAGGAAGGATTGCACTTGATCCATGGCTTGTATTCTAGGGTTCTATTTCTGCATCAGCTTGGAAGTGATCAGGAGAACCGTTGATCAGTACTGTGGATTGACAAATTAGACTGCGGCAAGTGCCACAAACTAACCAATGTTGAACACCTGAAGTAAATTTCTGAGACCTTGCTGGGATTGAACCTGTGACCTTCCAATCACTGATATGCACAATTTATTAGTCATTTCTTTTAAGACCGCTGCTACCAATGTTGTAATAACCTTAAACCCTATTTATAAAATTATAATAATAAATTCATTATTATTTAAATATCTTCAATGTGAGAGACTGCATTACATGGATTTGTTTCTTAAAAATATAATTCAATACATTAAATATTGATACTGTTCCCCAATAGCTTAATAAAAGAATTAAAATCATTTATCATATAAATGTAGCATACATGAAATAAATAAATGATTTTAATAAAAGTATTGTAAAAATCACTACATTCCTTTCGCACGGCATTGATGAACTCACAGTCGCCAACAAAATAACATGTGTGCCCATCATTTGGCTTAGATTTCAGGTTCAAATTTAATTGGCCACTAATGAACATTCTTTGTAGTGCTTGTTAAATACATCAGGATTGTCTCTTGACTTGTGTGTAATAACAAATTTTATTTGAACTTATATGTATTTTAAATAAAATTATTTTATCATCATTTTGAAGATTTTTCCTAATTATAAACAAAGGAAGTTTTAGAGATATAAAATTGAAATATTTGTTCTCAAACCCATTATATGTTTTATTAAAAGCGTAACTACATTGTTTACAATTTTTTCTTGTTAAGTTTCAAGTATTACAGTTAATGTTACTAGATGTTACTACAGATCATTTTATATGTTTGATACTGTAATACAATTGAAATTTTTGTAGATAATGCCCATTGAGCTGAAGACTGGTGCTGCCAAAAACTCTGTTGAACATAGAGGACAAGTAATTTTATACTGTTTGATGGCAGCTCAAGTTAGTCCTAATGTTAGTGGAGGATTGTTGGTATACTTGAGGTGTGTAATTTTTCATCAAATTTTTGGTTTTGTTAATAGTTATTTAATGCAGGTATAGTTGAATATATTGCAATTTATAAAGTGAAATATTACAAAAGGGAAAGCAAAGCAAAGGAGATTGCAGGTAGAAGAAGAGAAAGAATGCAATGTGATTAATGAGCCTTTGTGAGAGATGCGGAAGTGCCTATGCAAAAATAATATTTCATTTTCTTTGAAAAATTTTCAAAAATTAATATGAAATAATATAATATAGTAAAATCCGCATCTCTTCTGCATCTCTCACAAAGGCTCATTCTTTGTCATTAATCACATTGCATTCTTTCTCTTCTTCTACCTGCAATCTCCTTTGCTTTGCTTTCCCTTTTGTAATATAGTATAATAATATATTTTGTATCAACAGAGGATTGGTTTTCTTGTGTTGTATTTTAATTTACTATTTCTGTTTAGAACCGAGTTTAGTGCAGTGTTCACTCTTGTTTTTCTATTATTAATGACTAATAATTGAATTTTTTCAGGGAAGGATTTGCAAGAAAAGTTGAGGTGGGCCGTCCAGAACAAAGAGATATTGTTATGCTTCGAAATAGATTAGCTCGATATATTGCTCCATTTTATTCATCCCAGCAAGAATCAAACGATAAAGAATTTCCTTTACCTCGTCCAACCAATAACTCTCGTGTATGCGAGTGGTGTCCTCAGAAGTTAGTGTGTTCTGCATTTCTCAGGTATGGTGATGTATGATTAAAGTTTGCTTAGGACAACTGTAAAGATTTCTGATTCTCGATACTTTTACTGATCAACTAGTTGCAACTAGAAGACCTCTTGAAACATTCTTAGAAATTAAATCGTATGACAGGACTTACGTATCATGCATTATTTCTCAGATAACAAATTCAAGAATCGAATTAGTTTGGGTATCTTGTACCAATTACAGTGGCAACTTTGTTATGATTTTATTTCTTGATTCTCTAAAGCAAGCATGTGACTCCAAATTCTTTTTAAATACCTTATTATTGGATAAGTTTTAAAACAAAACAAGATGGAAGATTACAAGAAATGCATATGCAAATGCCAGAACCATTAACTTTTTAGAATTATGATCTATCTGTAATACAATAATTTGCTTGCTTTATAGTAATTTCTTTCAAAAATGTATTATGTTAAAACTTGATGATGCAGAATCACAGGTAGAAATAACATGTTCAGAATCCTTAGGCGTCAAACTATCAATTTGATTTGAAGTATTAAAAATGAGACCATGTGGTAATGGCTTACTGACCTCCACAACGGTTTTTAACAAAGATTACTGAAACAAGAAATACATTTTTTTATTTTTATCAATAAAGTTTATTTGTTTGATAAAAGGCCTGGAAGGGATGTGTGCACTTGAAATCATTATTGTATATATTTACTCAGAAGTGAATGTTATTGTTGCTGCTGGTGACCTTACAAAAATATGAGGCAATTAATTTATATTTAAGTTTGTATTTTATTAAAATGTAATGCTAGATTTAATACTTTATTGCTACCAACATTTACATATAAATCTTAACATGTTGTGTAGAGTAAGATTCATGATTCTAAATACTCCCAACAGTTCCCAAGTACAAATGCCAAAGCTGAAACCATCTTCAATAGAAGAAAACCATGTTGGTTATCTATGAAAGAGAGCTCAGTGAGAAATTGCTAGAGTAGACAAACAAAATTGTGAGGTATGTTGGGCTATTGTAACTAACCATTACAAAAGCAGCTGTAAAAGCCTTAGGCTTTTTCAGCTGCTCAAAGCTGTCATCTCCAAAAATGGAGAAACAGCTGAGGACCAGAAAGAAAGAAAAAGAAAAGTACCTGCAAACACACAATCAAAAATTACATAGAATATAAAAGATGAAGAGCACAAACAAGAAGATAAACATGGCAAAAATTAAGAGATAACTAGCAGAGATTAGTGAAATGTCACAAGTCCCTTAAGAATAAACTTCAAAATCATAAGAATTCTCAAAGATGGCACGAAAAAAATTCTGTATGGATCTTATTCTTGAGTTGAAGTGGATGCTACATATAAAACAAGGATGACATTTATACTTGAGAATGGACGACATAATAATTGAAGAAAAGTGACCATGACATATATATATCATTAGAAGAACTGGAATTTGTTCTAATGAAAGCTAAGAATGGGAAAAGTCCACGAGTAGATGGAATTACTGTGTAATCCCTAAAATATTGGAGTAAAGTTCTTGAGAATATATATTAGAGCTTTTTAACAAGGGGTGGGAAGCATTCTCGGTCCCCCAAAAATGACAGGTATAGTAACAATCACAAGGAATCAAAACAAACTACGATAACAGTAGCAGAATATTGCTTATATGCTCAACAGTATCAAACAATTTGTCAACATATTAAAAAATGACACCAAATACATTGCGACATTCACGGAAGAAGAACAGAGTAAATTTACTAATGTCCTTACTGTTTATAATATGCCTACGTACGTAACTGTTACACCATGTAATATGAAAATTAATGAAAGAAGGTAATATACCTGAAAAAATAATGAAATTCAAAATCTCTACTCAGACTCGCAAATAAAATTAAAAATGAATAATTGAAATTTTTGTACTTTAAAACAATTATTGTAAACAGCTAACAACTATGGATGGAAGAAAATTCTCATTATTTATACACATGTGTAGGTGCTTTATTGCTGTTGTAAAATGAAATAAATATGATGTATTGGCAAATAAGTAGATGCGTCAAAAAGATAACTAAGGCAAAGATTATGGTAAGAGAGATGAAGGAGAGCCAAAAGAAGTGGCGCTATCACATTAATGCAATAAAGAAGAAAAGACTGCATAGGGTAGTATTCTGATATGAGCCAATAAGTCAAAAATGTGAGGACTCCATAAATTAGGAACGCTTGGAAAATTTGCCACCGGATCTGTGAAACAGAAACATGTGATACACCTTTAACCTGTGGTGCATGATGATTTCCCAAGACTTCTTCCAACATTTAAGTTATTGTGCAAAAGACATTGACTTAAAAAGGGAAAAGAAATGCCCTTCTTGAAAGTCTGGCCAAACCTAGTAGTAACATAAGACCTTCTCTGCATGGTCTACAACTTGTTTTTTTACCAGCATTTAGGAAGTTTGTCTCTCTACTGTTAATTGGATTAGAGGGAAGATGATTATGTACTTCTTGTTTACATTCACAAGCCTGAAAAGGAACAAGATAGTTTCAGTACCTGTAACAAAAAATTTGAAACAATCATCATACCACAATAATGATGTATTGACTGTCTCATGAATGGTTTTTCCAACTTGTGCTTAAATAATTGTGGAGCAACAGATCAAAATGTATTAATTCTTTAGAGCTTTTATTGATGTAGTGCAAGTAAAATTGCTAAAGGATGGGCTTGGCATGGAAATCCGCTGCCACACAATCATGTGATGGCCACAGCAGCCCAGCCTAGTCCCCAGACACAACATTCATGGTCATTCAGTTATGACATGGGTTGCTATTCATTCAGCTTTAATCTGCCATACATAATATTATAGAAGGATAGAAAACACTTATTAAAATTTTGCTGAATGCTGCTATATAAATATTACATATATAATTACATTGCTACTGTTAATTTACGTAACAACATTAACAAAACCAATCTACAAGTAACAGAAGTATTAGTGACAACAAAAACACACACACACCAAAAAAAATAGCAAAATGCAATGAATACAGATATTAAAATGCAGATACATCTGGAGGATACTACATCCTATCACAGGAGTAAAGTTTAAGATGACTTTCATCTAGCTCTGACATGTGTACAGCTTGTTCGTTATTGAGTTTTGAAATTTCTGACCTGACATCAAAAATTGGATTTTGTGTTTGGATAACTAAGTCTGAACGCCTTTGTAGCTCAGTAGCTGTCATTCCCATAGAAATATGAATTGAATTGCTATGTAAGAAAGTGTTAACTTGAGAAGTTAGTTTGCACTTTACTAAACAATGCAAGCAATTGCACCCATAAGCCACTCAAGCAAAGATAAAATTTTTTAGTCAATACCTTATAAGCTGTTAAGAAGCTAATATATTTTGATCCATTACTCCACAGTTTCTAAATATATACTATGATGATAATGTATTCTTCTCTAAAGTGTTCCATTGCAAGTTAGGTTGGTATGAATATAGCAACACTCATGCCATGCTTCCGAGTGTTAGTAAATATGTGATAGTTTACAGAATCAATAAATGTTTATTTTAAAGTATAATTATTATTTATATGCTGGTATCAAATTTGTTAATAATAGAATTCATTAAAGAAAGTTGTTGGACATCTAACCTACCTGTATTTTTGATTTGTATTTTTTGAGTTGTTTCAACCATTGAGAAACGCAATACATATGTTTGTAACGTAATAATTTGTCTTTTCTTTCTAGTATGTCTGGAGGGGACCTGACAAAGTCCTCAGCTCAAGATTTACGTAGTGCATGTATTAAACATTTGTCACATGAACATTTAAATTATGTAGTACATTGGAGTAATTTACTGTGGTTAGAGGAGAAAGACAAATCAAGAAATGCCTTAACAGATCTCTGGAGCATTCCAGCTGAAAAACGGTAAAAATATTATTTGAAATATATTTGTTTGAAGTTGTTGTAAATCTTAATGCACTTGCAGCCAATAGTTTTACAGGTCCAAGGAATTGTATATGAAGGACAATTCAGTATATCTGACAAAAATGTTTCTACTGTTTATGTATTACATTTTTGTAAAGCATTCCCTTGTGAAAATGCACATCGTAGTATTGTTTTAGTAATCAAATGGCATTGCCCAAACTTCATTATGAGCACTATAGTTTAAATGCTCCAAAAACCTTTGTAATGAGATTTTGTCATAGTGTTTGTAGCCATGACTTCACAAATCATTGAATGACTAAAAATTGTTTCTGTCTTCCATAGGACTTGTGTAACTCTGTCTTACATAATGCACCCAGACTGCGTGGTTGTTTCTTGCCAAGTTTTTAAGATTTTAAAAATTTAATATGACAGGAATAAGTCCGTGCATGTGACACTTTGTACCAATTTATCATTCAAGTGCTTGTGCCAGTGACAGATTAGCTGCCTATTTGTAAAAAATTGCTTTTGCTGCATAGGAGTCAACTACCTCATTAAGCCGCCATGTGTATGTCTAGTAATAGTTTTTTCATTAGATTCCAAGTAATGCAAATCAATTACTTGCTGCAGGTTGCATTGGGTACAGTGGCAAAGTAATTCTAGATTCTGAACAGCAATCGCTTAGCCACCTCGCAATCTTACATATATTGAAAAGTTTCATGTATTAACTAAAAATGTAAATAAACAATACATAGTTTTGTTTCTATTATGAACTAGTAAATTTCTGTTTGATGAGGATGCCCTTTATTATTTTCTCTCAAACTTTCTTGCTCTTATTACATAAGAAGAGACAGTATCATAATCATGCGCTAGAAAATGGCCAAATTACATTAGAAATACTCTTAATGTTGGGCCCTGCTAACGGAAAAGTGGATCTATCATGTTCCTATGTATAGTAAATTACTTATTCCTACATGTAGTGCAGCCAGAATCCATGTTTTGTGGGTCCTTGATACTGAAAAATCAATTGACAGCAAAATGTGTCTGTCCGTCTGTGGTCAATACTGGTGCCGAAACAGTTCAGCCAGTTTTCTCCAAAATTGATATTCCTGATCGATCTGAATGAACTTGAGGCAGTGGGAGTTTCAAATGTATATTTTGATTTTTGAGGGTACTTTACATGAAACTTCAACATCTTTAAACATTTGTCAAAAATGGCACCTACTTTATTTATTTTCTTTTCGTCTTTTGATACCATAAAAAACCCTTTAGAGAATGGTGCAGGTCTAATTTTTGTTAAAGTCCCTGTTTCTTCGCAAATCGCAAATGTTCAATCTGTTTTCGGTGTCTTCCTGCAATTACGACATTGAAAATAGAAATTTTTTCCTTAATAAAATCTGTTCTTTGAAGGCAGGTCTAGAAATAAAGTAATGTACAATTTTTCAGAATTGAGTAGTTTTCCCGAAATTATGTGTAAAATATACGCAATTTTTAAATTAAAAGGAGTAAAAATTCTGTCCAAAACAGCACCAAATTTTTTCTTAAAATTTCTCCTCTTATGTATCGTAAAGTGGTAAAAAATATTGTGCTAGTGCCAATTTCGGCAAACACTCTGTATTTTCAAAATTTTCAAAAATTTAACATTTCAAACTACAAAGTTGAAGATACAGACTTTTGCCTCAGACACGGTCTGTTCTAAAAAATCAGTTCAATAGAAAAAGTCATGTATAGTGTTTTGAGAAAAGTTTTCGCGTAATTGTGTTTGAAATTTATGCAATTTCTAAAATTAGTCCTAACCCATTTCCCAGAGGGATGCCGGACATAACATAAACCTCGTTGGATAGAAACTCCTCAATTCAAGCTCACTGTGGCTCACTCTGGAGACATTTCCTAAACCAAATGACTCAGCATATGTACTTCCAATTTGATAATTTTTTTCCCCTCTGTTAGGATGAAAATGAAAATGAACGCTTTAGAAAAGTCTACAATGATTATATGAATTCTTTCTCCTTGTAGAATGAAACAGCAATATTTTGATGAATGTTAGCTAGCTGACTTTCGCTAGAATGTCCTGGTGTAAAGCCAAGTTGGTGTTGAACTATGAAGTTATTTTTGTTCCGTATACTGTATTTACCCCAATATCAGTTGATCCCCTAATTTTGAAGAGACCTGGGAATTTTTAACAAATTATTACTATTTAATCAAAATAAAATTGCAAAATGTCTTATTGACTAGAAAATTGCCTTTTTGATGAGAATGTTAAGACTTATTTCTGAACTATTATTTTCTAGTTTCTTAATATCATCATAATCATGGTTTTTGTCACTACCCTCATCATCTTCACATGTATCAATGTTTCTTTCTTTTGGTCCTCCTTCCATGCTGTAACATCTGACTTTTTAGGCCCCTCTTGAAAGGTTTGCTCACTAAATATGCGTTGTTCATAATCTTTATCAAATGCCATCCAAGAACATTGCCTTCTGTCGCCAGATTTTCTATCCATCCTGCACTTGTTGATGGCTTCTGTTTCTGTTGAAAATGCAGATTCGCAGTTAAAAGGCATTGAACTGAGATTCTGCGCAGTCTTGTCATGTAACAAACTTTCTGCTTTCATTTTCACATTACGTTTTGTTTGGTACAATGCCATTTGTTTAGAGATTCTCTTTACTGACCTATTCATAAATATCAGTCTGAAGTATCTGACAAATTCACAATATATGCCAAAAACATGATTGCAAATATAAATTACCTTGTAAATACGCGCGATTTTTTTACTATCTTTGCAGTTTATTGTTACGTCAACATTTATGAATTCGTGTCGTGGATTGGCAATGTAAAAACTTAAATTTCCAACCGTCTTAATCTGCGACCTCACATTTTTCGACTGAGATGTTTTGGAAAAAAACTTTGTCTTATGTTTCGGTACATACTTTTGTCACAAGTAGGTAGCAATTTGATGTTCTAATAGTTTACATACTACCAATGTTAAGCTAATTGGTGTATAGTTGGGCATTCGTGACCAATCTCTGCCTTTGTAAATAGGAACCACTATAGCTCTTTTCTAGTCATTAGGGACTTTACCATTGTTAATAGTAACTTCAAGAATTCTCACAAGGTACGGAATAATGGCTTCCCCTCCCAATCATAGAATTTCCCTGAGAATTCCATCAGGTCCCATGGATTTCGTTTTAGCCAGTACCATGATTCTCTTCTGCAATAACATAATATTGGTTGTTAAGCTGAAGATATTTCTTCAGTGGCACGGTTCCCTCAATCCCTTACATTTACCATTAAAGTTACAAAAATAACTCACAAGAATCTCTTTCTGGAAACCCGTAGTGTTTTATGAATTCATAGTATTGAGACAAAATGTTTTTTCCAGGACGTTCTATTTACTATGTTCACTACAATGAAATTTAATGTGTATCAATTATGTATGTGGGTCAGGACCAGTGACTTTGGTTCACTATATCCAGAATCAACTGTACAATGTTCTTCAAACGTTTTCTATCATTAAACTCAGCTAGAACATTGAAAATATTCTGAAGTTTGTTTTATGTAAGTTCTGTTTCCTTGAGCACTACAATATTTGCTTTTAATTCCAAGATAGAATATTTGGAAGCACACACAGCCCTAATTAACAATCGTCACAATAAAATTTGAGTCTTCTCGCACATTTCATCTTCAGTTTTCTCATTTGTGCTGTGATGTTCTCCCACAGATTGAAGACGCTGCCTCATTTTAATGTGTCCTGTGGTATTTTAGAGTACTACGATCCTCTTGTCTGTTCGTGGGGGTTGTAGACAAAACAACAACAAATTTAAACTTTTTTCTGGTTCCTAGATGAAAGTAGGCGCTTTTTACAGAAAATGAAATGATCTTCATTTGTATTCAGTTATTTCCTATCGCAATATAGTTTTTGGAAAATTGACACCATATGATTTATACATTTTGGTGAATCATGGTTACATTAAAGTACACATTACAGAACATTTACCTTACTGCAAGGATGCTTTGGTCCTTTTCCATTTATATGATAAGAATGATGATTCCTCACTGCTAACCAATAATAATGTGCAAACATGGCTGAATTTTGTCTTTCCTGATAGCGTTTTTTATAGCCAAAATGTCATCTCTTCTTCTCAATGTTCGTTTTTGTCATTTTCCAAATTGTCAGGAAAAAAATCAAGTGGGAAGTCAAGAAATTATGCTTTTAAGACAAAGTTTTCCACATAATTTTTAGTCTTCGGATTTCCTGTTCCCTAAGAAGTACTTCGTGACCTCCTTAAAGCATTTCCAGGCATATATTTCTTCAAAGACTGCATTGAATTCAATATCTTGATCGATAACCGTAGAATGGGATGACTTTGATAACTTTTACATTTGTTTTGAAAAAACTGCATCTTTGGTTTTGAGAATTGTAGCAGCAGTGTGGATGTTATAGGTTACTTTCCATAACAAAATGATATAGATAATATGATTAAAATCTAATATATTTAATAAAACACCCTGTCAAAGTTACCCTTGTTTTGGGATGACTGTTACCCTAAATTGAAGATCATTAAGAGGGTTGTTTTATTGATAATAGTGTCAATTTCAAACCTCATTGAAATTGGATGGACAGTTTTCTCTTTATTTATTCTTAAATATAAGGGGTGACTTTAATAGGGATGCCTGAACTTCTACATTTGAAATAATAGGCAACAAGGAATTACTTTTATATTATGATAATTTTAATGAACATTTCTAGAAAAGATGCACCTTTTATGTAAGTAATCTCTTAACTAGATTTCCTTTACCCATCTACAGAACTATTAAATTTGTAAGTCATTCTTCCTTCATTTTTTTTCTCTGTGGCAAAATGGTCAAAATCAGCGTGAAAGGCATCCTTTCCCACAAGCTTGAATATCTAATGAGTGGTATTCACATCTTCAAATCAATTATTCTACATTCCCACTTGCTCAGTATTTTGCAGATCACACCAACGTCTCTGTAGATTGTGCATTTCCGCTCTCCTGACACCACCGTCACTAAGACATACACTCTTGGCTTAAGCGCTTGTGAAGTTGGTGTTGGCAATAATACTTCATTTGTGTCTTTTTCACTGCTATGTGAGAGCTTGTCAGTTAACAACAATTCTCCATTAGTTTGCGAAACATCATCATCCATCTCAGATGTTTCATTGTTTTTGGCAGAAGTGATACTTTTTCCTGGTTCAATGGCAAGTCTCTTCCTCTTTCTTACTCCCTTAGCACCAATGTTAGCAAGTCTTTTATCCTTCAAACATGTAATCAGAGTCCTGCATAACATTTTCAAAATTGTGGTCTAACTGAGCATCAGGAAGTTTGGTCATAAATTTGGCAGGATTGAAAGGTGCAATGCCAGTTGTTATATGTTAAATAATGTTACATGTAATAAAAATATTGTTGTTTAATACCCATATTACACAGTTTATTTGACAAAAATACTAATGAAAGTCATCCCTCGACTGTTATCAAGTCACCAAACTATTACAAAGCACTCTTACATTTTAAGTTAGAATATTCTTCTATTCACTATTTTTCTCACAAAGAGTACTACTTACTACTAATTTGTTAGATAATTCAATAAAATATATGCCTTGGTCTCAGCTTGGAAATTTTCCACCACATGAATTTATTCTAAATATAGTACACGAGTTTTAAAAGAAAACACAGCCACAGCTATGAATCTTATGACACAGTAATATGTCTATTGGCGCTAATAGACCTCCAGAATATAGAACTGTTGACCAAGAAATGTATCAAGTCAAGAGTAGTAGCTGCATCATCACATAAATATACTGTGTCAAAGAGGTATCAGAGTCACACTAATCTACAGTATCTGGAGTCCAAAATTCCTTCTTTTATTTTTGCCTCTCTAAGATTTGAAAACTTATCTTTTAGATATTGAAATACTCTACCATTTCTGTCCATGCCCTTCACAAAGTTCTGTGTTAGCCCCAGCTTTATGTGAAAGACTGGATGGGAAATATTGTAAGATTTAACAGAGATTTAAATGCAACACACTTTTGTGCCCCATTTCCAGACATGTTACAGGCCAATCTCAGACAGTATAATATTTGGATCTGGCTCAACTGCCCCATTCACACCACAAACAATAGTATTTTGTGTAACCCTGTTGCATTCCCAAAAGAATAGCGATCACTTTTAGATCCTCATGTAGTTTCCACTTGAAAGAATTGTAGTTGATGCTATTTAATAGGAATTCCATTGTTTCGTAAGACTCATCCAAGAAAGAATTGGAAACAATTAGAAATTCAGTTATAAACATTGAAATGGTCATTGTTTTCGGAATGTACTTCTGCTTCTTCTTCACCTTCGCCTTCTTCTTCACCTTTGCCTTCTTCTGCTTCGCTTTCTTCTTCACCTTAACCTTCTGCTTTGCCTTCTTCTTCGCCTTTTTCTTCATCGTCTTCATGATGCTCTTAAACATATTATTCTGGGCGAGCAGGATAAGAAAGATAGGGACCATGAGAACTTGGTCACATTGCAGGAACAATTACTTTCTTACTCTTTGCAGAGAAATATTGCAATGTTGGTGACACAAAAATAGTTGGAAAAAATAGATTTAAATGATTCTGTTGCTCCCTCAATTAAATCATTGTACAGTGTTGCTACATTGGTAAAGGCATATATGAATGAGAGCCCTTTAAGTCACTGACATATTGTTTGCATAAGATACACAGGTGGTTTGCTGGTGGTTTGGTGGTTTGCTCTTTATAGGAGGTGATGCGACTCCCCTGATGCTTTGCAGTGAATGTTCCACATACGTAACTGAAATTATAATACAATTATACTTATTATATTGTATTATACAATTGTATTATATTTATATTACAATAAAATATATTACAATTATAATACATTCGAACATTTACTTGACATTTTTATAGATCTGCCTATTCAAGAAATATGTGCACTCACTGTAAAACCGGGGTGGAGTGTACTATGAACACAACTAAAATCATTGACTGTAAAGTACACACAAGAAATTCACTTTCCAAGAAGGAAAGGCCTTCTAACAATGAGGCAGGATGGTTACAGTGGTGTTTTCTTTGGTTAAGATGTGTTTAACAACAACTTATAGAAGGAAACAAGAGTTACACAATTTATGAATGGTTGTACTACTCGTGTTTCACAAAGCATCTTACATTCAACCAATGAATTTTATATATTTCTGCCATACCATACATGATAGCACAAAACTGATTACAATTCTGGATTCAGCATAAAAAATACTTCTAGACTATGTCGTCTTGTTTGTAGGAACTAAAAACGTAGTTGACTAATGTAATCTAGTTGTTGTCTTTCTATTAATCAAATGCCTAAGATCTGTAGGGATTTGATCAGATTCCTTCTAAGGTATTTAAGGTGATTATATGTTACTGAATTTTTAATATTCTCTATCCTTTTTCAGGGAAGCGAAAGGACGATGCCTTTGTAACCTTCAATTAAATGAACCAGTCAAATTTAAGGATGTTGATTCATACAGTCATGTTTTCAGAAAAAATAACGAAGGCAAATTTGATACTAATTCCAGTCAGATTTCTTCAGGGAGTATGGTTCTTGTGAGCACTGACTGTAGAGTTGCTATTGCATTTGGAATTATTGAAGATTTTAATAGTTTGTCCGTGAGAGTTGACATTCCAAGGTAAGTTGGTATTAGACTGAGAATTAATTTCAGTGGGTTATATTATCTAGCTGATAATTTTTATCCCAATATTACCCTTATTAACAGTTTCTACTCCCAATCTTCTTTTGGAGTTTCAAGTCAAAATTTGGTTTGTAGCAGCTCTCCTCACAAATCTCATTCATGCTTTCTTCTTTAAATCTTTGTAGTTTTCATAGCTCACACCATTCATAATCGTTGAATGGTTCAACTCTTTTACTTTTCTTGGAGTGTTCATTTAAAGGCAGGGAAGTACAATTACACAAAGAGAAAAATGGATATCTTTCCTAGTATGACTGTATTTTTCAACATTTGAGTATCTAAAATCTTCTGGGTTTTCATTGTGAATCATATTTTAGTTGCACTCTCACTTGTATATTCAGTAATAATAATAATAACAAAGAATTAATGTGTGTTTACTACTTTTTTCTCCCGTAGGAAATAATTTTCTTCTTCTAGAACCTGAAACTAAATATTTTGTTCCCAGTCATGGATAATTTATGCTATCTATCGTTATGAAGTTGCATTACACTGTCATAATATTTAGTGAACATGCTCAGCATCATTTTTGTTCCTTTTATCTTCTTGCTTGTCCCTTTGCTCAGTAGTAGTGGTAGCGGCGGTGGTGGTGGTGGTAGTGGTAGTGGTGGTGGTGGTGGCAGCTGCGGTAAGAGGTGTTGCAACAATAGCAGTCAGATCTGTAGTAGTAGTAGTAGTAGTAGTAGTAGTAGTAGTAGTAGTAGTAGTGGTAGTAGTAGTAGTAGTAGTAGTAGTGGTAGTAGTAGTAGTAGTAGCTGTGATGGTAGTAATAGTGGCTAGTCAAAGAAATGCGATTGGAAAATAATTCCGGTTTTTTACGAATCATGAAAAATAGAACTACTGAGAGCATTTAAGAGTGCCTCAAATGTCCCAAAAGGGCAGCTGATGCCTATTTAATATCTTTTGCCTAAAACAAGTAATTTTTATGAAATATCATATTTTAATTACTAGTTATTTAAATTTTTTTACCGAAATGCAAATAATTTCCTGAAACGTGAATATTCCCTGATCGAATACGCAATCGACTCTGCACCGAAATCACTCTCGCAACACACTAAGCATAAGGAGCACTGCAAGTCAATATCAAGATGATGTTTTACTCTTGTCTTCGATCAGCATACATTTCTTAGGCAATTGCTCCCATTCCCGCTGCTGCTGTTGATGGATTAAAAATGAAAAGTGTGAAAGAATGAATGAAATGAAAAGAAATTAATGTAAATAAAATAATATACTTGTAGTCACACTCATAATTGTAAAAATACTTGACTTTCTTGAAAAATAAAAAGTCCCTAATGTAATCCTTTGTGATTAGTTTTAGATGCCAGAAACAACTTTTCATTTCTAATGATTTTAAATGCTTGGTTTAATCATTTTGTAACCCATTTTGAGTAACTAATACCACTTTTCAAGTCAAATAGTGCCTCATTTCATAATTTTGTTACCTATTTTAGGTGCATAAATCACTTTTTGTGCCTAAAATTCCAAGGTCTAATAATGACATATAGGTGATAGAAATGTATAGTTATTTGGTTGTTTTAGGTCTCGTTTTTTGATTTTTGCATCATTTTTGCGCATTTTGTTTCCTATTTGTGTTTTTTGTTAGTAAATGTTTCATGAATCTGGCCCACGCTTTTCCATGTGTGGCAGAAGAAGTTAGAGCGAATTTTCTCAAAGTTGACAAATTTGTGCCTAAGCCTAAGAAAGCGTTTGTTATGGCTCCATCATGCAGGGAAGTTTTCTGATCACAACCTCCTAGCATTCCTCTTCCGACACAGTCTATTATCACGCGATGAAGCACATGGATGGATGAATTCATATTATGGTGGTGGATGGCACATGGATGGTGCATATTATTTTGATTATTATCCAAAAGTGAATAATGAGTAATTGACTCTCTTGACACCCAAGTCATAAAGGCATCCAAGGCATACAAACTGTTTAAGACCTGTTTGCTGACAAAAATGGAGGGAAAGCTAGCCTACATCAAATCTAGATTTGGCTCCTTGTTGTCATCATTTACCCGTCCATCTTCAGGAGAGAGACCTGCCCTTAGAAAACGTGATAGATTGGTAAGAACAACTGAAGGCGTGTCAAAAAAAATGTGTTTGGTGAATTAGGCATGACAGTGTCAGAAAATCTTCAACATGTTCTTGACAAAAATTCTGGATTTAAAGTACTCTGCTCGAATAGTCAAGTGTTAGGGGGAGATTTCTTATTGAATGGCATCCCAGAACAATTAAAATCCAGTGATTTAGCACATTGCAAGTAAGCTCTTGTTTCGTTAGTTAATGTGGGAAGAAGCTTTTCCATGTTCAAAAACTTGCTGGCAGATAATTGGCATTCATTCTTATTCGACAATCTGTGCATGATCAGTCACCTATTCCTCTTACACATAATACTTATTATTTGTAAATATGTTTTTCAATTAATTAAATAACACGTACTTCAGCCTTAATATGGTATTTTTCCTCTTTTGCAGATGATCTAAGCTAAAGATTGCATTTCCTGCTAAAATAAAGACTATATTTATTTAAAACTGTGAAAGTCATTGAATATGTACCTTTTCATACAATTCTTTTAGTATTTGTTTGAAAATTAGGTCATGCCCTCCCTTAATTGCTTGTCATTTTATAGGTCACTAGTGGCAATGCTTTGCTATTGCCATGTATTGCACTTCACTAGCTACTGGTGACATGATTGTTAATCACTTTTACGCTAAGGTTTGTAGAAATTTTAATAGACGTTTTGCGAGTATGGATTTGTTCTATGTCCTGGTTTGGACATGATTGTCAAGTATCCTATACTGCAGTTTTCGCAACTCTGCCCCTGACAGATATCAGCTGTTGACAGTTTCATTCATTCGGGAGCTTGATCGTCACTGTGGTGACATTCAAGCTCCCGATTTCCATAAATTGAGTATATTGAGAGTTCCATAAATTGCAGTATATTGTTAAAATGTTGTCCCTCAAGTTTGGGCATGCTTTCTCTATGAGATCTTGGAGAAATTTGATTTGCTTGTTCGATATAATGTTCAAGTAATAATTCCGGCCGATATTTCACAATCAGGAGGGCAGAATAAGCAGCAAAGATGTGCTTAATTCTTGAGGGTGCGGCGGATTGCATAGATCATCTATTCAGAGGTTATTAGTCTTAGAGAATGCAATTATGTGTATATAGAAACAAATTACTGTTGATATTTTTTGCTAATTTTACATTTTATGGTAACAAACTAAGAAATGGAACCGAATGAGGTATACACGTCAATCACCGTAAATAATGAACTGTTCTTATAAATCTCATGTATATGAACACTCATTCGAGCAAGTAGTATAAGTAGTATATCTCTCTGCTAAAGCCTAGGCGAAGGTACCAAACGAACATCTTGCAAAGTATCACTTACATGGCAGTTCCAAATACAGTTCAAGATGTGCTAAAGTAAACTTTGATCTCCTGACACTTGAAGTTGCCTCGTCCACTGACAACTAAATGAATAATTCACCAATATCCTACCTGATCTCTTCAATTATGTCTTTATATTTGTGTGGCAAGTAGTTTTATTTTTCTCTCAAAATCAATTTGTCAGGAATATTTATTTTTGTGTATTTTACCAAAAATTCTCTAAATATTTTGTTGTTCAAGTTTTTTGAATTTTCGTTTATTATATGGTATGTTTGAAGCGACCATACTACCATCTACTCTTTGAACCTACCAAATGACTTGAGTTTGGTTTTGGGTGCATGACGCGCTCCGCGGCTGTAGATGACAAGTTATCAGGGGCGGGAAGAAAGGGAGAGCAAACCTCATGAGAAAGCCATGAATTGAACCAAACAAATGTCTAGCATTTCATGGGCATTTTTTACATTATACCAATTTTTTATTGGAAATTTGCGTTTGAGACAAGTGACTGCTGAGCAATTAGTGCTTCAAATCCACCGTAAATTTAAACTCGTGCTACGAAAAAGTTGCAATTGTTGCAAAAGTGGCGCGTGTTTAATTTTACAGTTGCCATAACCATATGTTCAAATGCAAAACATGTCCTCAAAAGTGAAAATAAGGCAAAAAATAGGTATGTATGTCACAGTAGGCACTATAAAAATCCATTATGTGAATGCATTGGTAGTGAAACTAATTAATATATCGACAGCCTTTGATTCTGAGCAAAAGAATAAAAAAGACAAAGAGGGCAAAATCCGCTTCCTAATCATTTTACGTCAGTGTGTGACAGATATTTCTATTGTACTATGTCTATAAGTGTTGTGCGAGTAGAAGCAATGAGTTGACAAAGTTTCATCGCAATTGGAACGGTATGGCAGCACATAAAATACAAACAAACAAACAAACAAACATTGATTTTTGTATATTAGCTTTTCAAAGAAAGAAAGTAGGTCATCAGAATCTGTGTCTTGATCATAAGCTACCACAACCAGTCCGTTGAACAGTTTCACAGACTTGCTGTTATTGCTTCTTATTTGCTCTGTGGTGAAAATTGACTACTTGGTTTGAAGGTGTTTTAGTAGTTTTGGAGCCTTTTTGTTTTGCGCAATGATAATATTCATTTTTTTTCATTTTGTTTCAGAGATTTATCCCAAGTGGGTGAATTGTATGGTAATTCATTCAAGCTTGATCTCTATGAACCACAAAGTTTCTTGCACTGGGTACTAGGGAATCTTGCAGCCCTTCTTGAGGACACAGAGACAGCTTCTAAGTTACGCCGATTGTTGATTGATCGGTAATAACGATGTAATTTAATAAGTAGTTGAAATAGTACTCATTAATAATTGTATTAATTTTCACACTATGTTTGTAGAGGATGTGTCAATGTATAAAATGTTTTTAGTTGAAAATGAAGTGGATGTGATAGATTCAGTCAGCTTTCTCCTCATATTGGTGGATGAACTTGTAGTTCATTGGCTGTTCAACATTTAGAGCATGGGTTCAATCCTGGTGAAAATGAATCACTTTTTGAAGGGTGGAAAATACAATGGCAGTATCCTAATAATGTTATGTGAAAGAACTGTGATAAGTACATGGCATAATTTTGAGTGTGAATTCTGAATGTGACAGTTGTCACCCTAATCAGATGCCGAATTTGCTTACCCAAGTAGTGATGCATTCAATGCATAAATGGTAATTAAAATGAGTTACTAACGAAAGGCATTCACAGCGTGCCATTGAAAAGGTTCCAAGTAAAGCAGCTAATGCCATTGCTGGGGTTCACCTCCAAAGCCAAAAATTAAGAAATAGGTAAATAATAGAAAATTTGGTGACCCAATGCTTCCTGTTTTTTAATGACTTAAATTATTCAATAAAGAATTGCTAAATAATAGTAGTTTTTGAGTGAACTCTTTGGAATTGATCACCACTACATAAACGATTTCTTCAAAAGTGTTTCAAAATTTTTACTTGAATTTTTTGTAAAGTTAGAGCTCAATATAATGAATTCTATAATACAAGTTTTCATTAAAACTTTTAAATTTTTACGAAGTTTAAAGTTTCTTCTCCCCTCTTCCTTAAAAGTCCTCACTTTGGTGAAGAATTTTTCAAGAAATGGCTATAGTATTAGCGATTCATCATGGCATTAGTGATTCATATGAAATGGCTATAGTATTGCAATATTTTAATATTGTGAGCCATTACAAATATAATTCATGAAATAATTTATTATTGTAGTACCGTTACATAATAACTCTGATCGTGTCTGTAAACTCTTTAAGTGAGAAAAGTGTTCTGTACAGACATCTAACTTAACTTTATATGAAAATTAACGTTTTAATTAACCTAAAAAATAACTAGTGGTACTACACAGTGATAGAATTGTTAAAACTATTAAGTATTATTATAGTGTTCCTGAGATCATTGACGTACATAAAGGTGATTGACTGAAATATCTAGAATGGGAAACTCATCCATTCAGGTTTTATTTAGAGAATGTTGGGATTATTATAGAAATTGGAAATAATTTGAAAAGTAAATAGATTTATTATGAATTTTGATGTTAATATTTTTACCACTTTTCTAATGTCTTTGGCTGTTTATTCACAGTAGATTTGTAGATTATCGTTTAGCACTTCTGGATTTTTATTGAATTGGTTTGCTAACTACTTGTAAAATAAAATTAAGTACATAAAGTATAATAATTCTATTTGATATCCTTTCACTCTATTATATAATGGAGTACCTGAAAATTCTCATTTAAGTCCTTTGTTATTTAATGTTTGTAAAATATTGCAGTGCTATTCACTATCATCTTTATGTTGATGTTTTAAAAACTTTTGATGGTATAAAGTCTATGGACACCGTAGAAATTCAAGACTGCTTAAGTAGATTATGTGAACGGTGAAAGTACAAAAACATTGCACTAAATGCGTGAAGGACAAAAGTTTGAGGTTCAGGCAGACATGTTTCAATCTATATATTTTGGATGATTGCCCTTAGGAAAGTGTTCCTTGTATATTTTACTATTTTATAATTTCACTGGATTTGCTTGTTTATACAATAAGTTACATGGTTTTTTAAATTAAATTTATTTTAGGTAGAGAAATATACAGTACTCAAAAAAATAGGCTACCTGAAAAATTGAAGGGAAATTCAAATGAGTAGAACTTCTGTAATTTTTCATCCATAATTAATGTTTTTTTCCTTTAAGAGTTGGAAGAAAAATTTTTAAAATGATTATTCACTCTGTCTCAGCCCCCATGCTTTCACGTATGAGAGACAATTTTTTAAATTTAATCTTTTACCTGCTAAAATAATGTGATGTGAATATTTGTGTAATTTTTGGTTTTGTATTTGAATTTCTCCTTCCCCGTGATGGTTATGTGAAAAACTTTCCAAACATTGTGTTCTATAATTTTGTTACCTCTCCATTCTTGAAAGTCTTTCAATACATTATCCATGAACCACAAATTTACAACACCCCAAAACCCTGCCAAAAAAATAGATTGAAAAACTGCTAACTTCTCCAAATCAAGTTACTCAAATTAAAAAATGTTCTGCATGATCATGTGTTGAAGTGAAAAGTACAGATCAAAGAGTCTTTTTAAATAGTCTTTTGATGACAGATAAACGGTTTACAATTAAACATTTTTAATATGTACAGAAATATTCCATTTTTATTTCATCCCGTTTTGGGGGCAGTGGTGGGTAAAGTGCTAAAAAAACAATGAATTTCAAAGCATGATATGGACTTTATTTCATCAAAATTCAGTGGAACTGTTAAAGGGCATTGAAAGTACAGAAGGTTTTATACCTTTAATTTGCAAATAAGTTTGATTCTGTTTCATTTGGTAGCAGGTATTGAATGGGATGGTTAAAAACATCTACCAATACAATACATACATACAATGCTTGCATGAAATTTTCTAGCCGCAAGTTGTCATAAAGAGCCAAGAGAACAATACTGATGACAACATATATGTACTGAAATTGTCATATTTTCAATATTATTATTATTGTTATTTACTATTATTATTCCTCTAATTCATGACTAAAGGTGTTATAAGTAGGTTGAATATGTAGAATGAAATTTACTTACGGTTGCAACTAGCTTCTTAAGGACCAGATCGAGGGACTGATGGTGCCACTGCAATACTTTGCGCAAAATTGGGCTGTTCCCAATAAAGCTTGGTCTTGCATTTCCCAGTCTTTTCAATGACCTGCACACATGCAGCATTTGATGAATCCCTAGGAACCGCTTGCCGAATCCTGAGTAGTGTGAATGGGATGCTTGCGATTCGCCGAGCACCGATCATTCGATATTCAACGTACCCTTGATCTTTAGAACACATCAGTCAAAGCAAACTTTTGCCAAACTCAGCTGTTCAGGATTGAGCAAGTAGTAGCTCGCTGCTTGGTAAATCTCGAATGTGTGGAGCTGCCTGTACACAAATTTTGTGGAACAAATCTCAGAGCTTCGATAACTATCAGGACAACCTGGGCTTTTACGCTCCACATTCATCTTGATTTCCAATCTCTTGTATTTAAAACGTTTGTCTGCCTTCTTGGTCAGGTTTTGATTACACAGCTCAGCCATGTCTGCAAGTAGACACTTCTATTTTTGTTATTATTATTATTAAGAATTATTATTATTATTATTATTATTATTATTATTATTATTATTATTATTATTATTATCATTATCATTATTATTAATTCATATTTGTTATACATTGGTTGTAATGATCACTTGCAGCACTGTCTTAGAAATTTAAAACAAATTGTCTTTAAACGTAAAACTGAATGTGTTATTCTCATTTCTTTAAAAATTATCATTAAGTTTAGTGAAATAATCATTAAGTTAAAATACCTTTGTTTACAATGTTTCTTTAATTTTCTTTACAATGTTTTGAAATGTAATTTTTCAGTGAACTTCCATCTTTTGACCCAAGTTGTGATAATTCATCTGAAGTGAAACAAAATTCTCAATTTACTTTAAATGATTCTCAGCAAAAAGCAATTAAAATGGCTCTCAAAGCAAAAGATTATTTGCTCCTAAGAGGGCTTCCTGGAACAGGTATTTATATACTGATCTTTTACGTCAAAGTTTTTTATATATTGATCACAATTGTGGCATGTGTAATTGTAACATTGACAATTGTATGCCTTATTCATGTGTTACGTCGGGTTTAAGTAATTTTCATAGATGATGCTTTTGTAACATTATTTTAGGTTGCTAATGTACTTGAATTGTTATTGTTCATTCACTTAATGTGTTTGAAACAGTAATATTATGAATATTCTTAAGGCCCCAACAGGATAACACAGAGCTCATCACAGAAAAAGAGTTCTTAAGAAGTCCCTAATAGGATTATATAGGGCTCATCACAATCACAGGGATCAGGAACAAAGAGCTGCCAGCAACAGCAAGAGCAGTACCAAGAATGGTGACTGTTCTAGATCCCGAAGGGTCCAACCACTTAGTTTCAGAAGAGATGTCACGCAAAATTTATGATCATTGTGGAAGAGGGAGGAAGCAGCTCTCAGAAAAATAGTCTAGTGATGTTTTAAAATGAATGGGAAGAAATATATTTTATTCTAAAACCGAAGAAAATATGAAGTGTTTCGTTGAAGCCATCCATAAATTACATTACACAAATTTAGAATATGTTTGAATACCCCTTCTCTCCCCCTGTAATG